CAAGAAAATCCGACCCTCCACCTCGCCACAGGCAGCGCCTGTATTTTTCGTCGCCAAGAAAGACAGAAAGAAAAGGCTGATCCAGGATTACCGGTATCTCAACTCGTTCACAATACCGGACGCCCATCTGCTGCCCAACGCGCAAGCTCTGTTCGACGAGTTGGTCGAGTCCAAATATTATGCTAAATTCGACATCTGCTGGGGTTTTACTAACCTCAGAGTAAAGGAAGGAGATGAGTGGAAAGGGGCGTTTATCACCCCTAGAGGACTTTTCGAACCAACGGTAATGTTCTTCGGGCAGTGTAACTCACCGCCCTTGTTCCAAAGGTACATGGACCGGACTTTCGAAAGTCAAAGAGGAAAGCAAGTGGGATACATGGACGATGTAGCGATCCATGGGAAGACTAAGGAAGAACTTCGAAGTCGCGTGCGCGAGTTCCTGGAAATCTGTCAAAAAGAAGGACTTCAGTTGAAGCTCAGCAAATGCGTTTTCGAAGCCGAAGAAATAGAATTCCTGGGGATGATAATAGGAAAAGGCCGCATGGAGACTTCGCCAACGAAGACCGATGCGATCAGTACCTGGGAGGCCCCTGACAACTTAACCGGGCTTCGCCGATTCCTTGGGTTCTGTAACTTCTACCGCAAGTTTATCCCTTCCTTCTCAAGTGTCGCCCGCCCTCTTCACGACCTCACCAAGAAAGGAGTTTCGTACACATGGACGCCGGAACGTAATAAAGCTTTCGAGACACTTAAGTCTTTGTTATGCTCCGCTCCGGTCCTCCTTATCCCCGACTTCGCGAAACCGTTTGCTCTTTTCACCAACGCCTCTAAACTCGGCACCGGTGCGGTTCTCGCTCAAAAGGGAGATGACGGAGAGTGGCATCCCTGCTCCTACTTGTCCCAGTCCCTAGTTGGCGCTGAACAGCGGTACCAGGTCTATGACTTGGAAATGTTAGCCGTCATCCGCGCACTCAAAGCTTTTCGCCCATATCTCCTCTCCCCTGTCGCACCTACGGTGGTCTTCACGGACCACAAGAACCTCGAATATTACCGCGAGCCTCAACAGCTCACGCCAAGGCAGGCCAGATGGGCCGCAACGGTTCAATCCTATCCCATTCGTTTCTCTTGGCAGGCCGGTCGTTTGCAGGTTCCCGCCGACACCCTTTCTCACAAAAATGAGTCGGCCGACCCGCCCCCGGTGGCCATGGTCCTTCCCCCGGACCTTTGGCTTTCGGAGGGGGTGGACAGCCCTGTTCGCCTCGTTTCACCCACTTTTTCCCTCACAAAAATTATAAAACAACAAAAGATCAACCGACTTAGTCGTATCGGACGAATCCCATGTCGCTCGGACAAACCCGCGCAACACAAAAAGCCCTATTCTCGCCCAACTGAGGAAATGCCAAAAGAGAATGGGCCCTCCAAAGCTCGCCCCATGAGGGAAGTCGCCAAAGGAGCATGAGGAGTGTTTGCCGTGTCTACAGAGTTGTACGAGGAAATCAAGAAAAACGCCAAAAAAGATGCTACCATAAGTAACGACAACGTTTCTACAGCCCCAGATGGCACCCAGCGATTCGGCACCACCCACCTTTATATCCCTCCTGAACACCGACACCATTGCATGAAGACATATCACGACCTGGAGTCCGCCGGACACCCCGGACAGAAGGCCATGATGGCGAAGATGAAAAAGGAAGTATGGTGGGAAGGTATGGGAAGGGACATCAAAGCTTACGTCGCCGGATGCCCTATGTGTCAAGGAAGCAAGGTAGCAACTCATCTGCCAAAACCCCCTATTACCCCGCATCAAACGACTGGAATGGTCCTCCCATTTCAACAAATCTCCATGGATTTCATCACGGATCTCCCCGTCTCGGGAGAAGAGAAGTTCGACAGCGTTCTCACGGTTGTTGATCAGGGTCTGACTAAAGCCGCGTTGTTCGTTCCTTGTCACAAAATGATTGACTCCGAAGGTTTGGCAAAACTGTTTCACCGGTTCATTTACGCCCGATTTGGACTACCGGAATCGGTGATCTCTGATCGTGGCCCGCAGTTTGCCTCCTCGTTTACGAAGGAACTTTACAAAGCTATAGGAATTAAGACCAAACTCTCGACGGCGTACCATCCACAGACCAACGGAGAAAGCGAGCGAGTGAACCAGGAACTGGAAGGGTATTTGCGACTGTACTGCTCGGAGTTCCCTAACTCTTGGAGCAGCAAATTACCGTCCGCAGAATTCGCTCACAACTCCCGGATCCACTCCGTCCATCAAATGACTCCGTTTTCCCTCCTCCTTGGTTACGACCCAGCCCCATACCCAGAGGTCAAAATAACCCCGGTCCCATCGGTAGAGGAAAGATTGGAATGGCTCGCTGCCAGTCGAGATGTCGCGATCTTGGCCCACAAAAAGGCACAAGAGGCGATGAAGTCTCGCTCCAAAGGGACTTATGTTGCGCCTAAGGTCGGAGATCGTGTCCTCCTGGATACTTCAAACTTGCGCATCAAAAACCAGTGTGACAAGATTGCGCCCCGATGACTCGGCCCCTTTAAAGTGACTCAGGTAGTGTCACCTGTCGCATTCCGATTGGACCTCCCGAAAACCTGGAAGGTGCACCCGGTGTTTCACGGGTCTCGGATCTTTCCGTTCATCGAAAACGATACATACGGCGCTGCGCCCGCAGCCCCCTTGCCGGAATTGGTTGACAATGAAATAGAATGGGAGGTCGAGTCAGTCATAAATCACAAAACTGATGGCTGTCGAGGCAAGAGGCGATACCTGGTAAAGTGGAAAGGCTTCCCCCATTCGTCTAACACGTGGGAGCCAGAGGAACACTTAAAAGACCATGCCCAGGAAGCCCTGGAGCAATACAAACTTGCCCGACACCTCAAGAATTAAATGGACTCCCCCCGCTCAGTAAACACGGAAAATGACTATGCCGACCTCCCCCTCCCAGAATCCGTTTACGACTCCTACGACGACAATCTCCTACCCCCCATCGCCGCGTATGCACCAACCTCTCCCCCGAGTTCCCCCGCCGGCTTTTATGTCTCCGGCTTCTCCTTGCCCATGTCCCAGCCCCGTTCGGTATCAACCTCTACCACCCGAAATGTCGACCCGCGTCCACTCCAGGGGATCTCGGTCAAGCGCGTCCCTGTCCCAAAGGTCAGAGTCTCCCAGAGTGGGGACAGTAGCCAAAAGGGAAAGGGTAAAGCGCGGGTTGATGATGACTCCGATAACGGAACCCCCAAGGCCACCGCCCCCGATGCTCCCGAACCTCCCCACGTACGCAGTGCCTGCGCCACCTATGCCGACCGAGGCAATAGGGCTGCCCTCGATGTCCTCGCCTCAATCGCCGCTGCCAATGCCAGGGCTGACGAGCAAGGATTACCAGTCCCAGCAAGTGAATACATGGACGTTGTTAGGGCGCTTGACCTCTTCCACAACGGGGACCACGTTGACGGGTGCTCATCAGAACAAGATCAGTATTTTGGGCTGTTGTCTGAAGTCTACCGAGCATCAGACGTAATCAACGGGTTGGTTTCGAAAATACGGACACAGAAGTTAACCGGAGTGGCGCCTCTTTCGGAGGTTATCATGATCGGCATGCTCGAGAAGGCTTCGGCCGAAATTACAGAAGCCGTTACCAGAGGAGCCTATCATCACTTACGTCAGCAACAGTTCAACGAGTTCCTCGCGCCCCTGGCTTCTCGCATTCTCGATCGGATCATCCCAAAGGAGGTAACCCCGAAAGAAGTAAAAATGAAAGAAGACGTAACGGATCAGGAGAAGGAGAAGGAGTGGCGTGCTGTCGAGCTGAGTTTTGTCGATTCAGGCGAACTGTTTAAAGAGGTCGGTAGCCGACTTGGAACAGGGACTCACAACTCCGCTTGGGAGGTTCTTCTTCAGGATGCGTCGTGGGCTGGTATGCACAAGCAATACTACAACGCCGTCCACGCCGCCGACCCTCTCCCTCCTGCTCCCTTCGTCCCCGTCCCTTCTGATCAACTTCGGTTCTACCTCGGAGGGCAGTCCCCCGTCCCGGTCGGGCACCCCTTGTATCAACACGCATGTTACCAGTGTCGTTACCTGGGACATTGGTCGTGCCGCAACGGACGGGGTTCCCGCTATACTCCGGCCCTCGAGGAGCTGCCATCTCCATCGCCTACGTCGCCCGTCGCCTCTCGAACGCGCTCCCGCGTTTTTACTACTCGCCGACCCTTATCCGCTCACCCTGCGAATGTCCCTTCCTCCTCGTCCTCAAGGGTCTGAGGACCTGAATGGGGGGGTGATGTTACACTTTTTCCGCTCCTGTTTCCGTTTTTGACCTCTCGTGGTCACGTGTGTCACGTGCTTGGTCGTGTCTCTCGCATTGGTTGTCGTCTTAGGAGTGCGGATGCTACGTGGAGAGTTCGGATCACCCGTTGTCCAGGTATTTCCAATACCTGTCGAGACTCGTCATTTGTGATCCGTCCGTGACGCTCGCCGCTCTTATTTAACCGTTTATGTTTCTATGACTCATTCCCGTTTCATTATGACTGTACTATAGATCCGGCGTCAGGCTCCTTGCTGCGCTTTGATGTGCAGCCGGTATAGCCATCGTTTCCTTGTCCATCCCCATCATTGACGCCGTTTGACTCATATTTATTTCAGTGATTAGTTCGTTTACTGCTGCGGATACGCGTCGCGACGTGTCGCTCGCGACTGGTAGGGTACTCGTACTTAGAGGTATTTAAACCCACGTACTTTACCATGTATCCTCAGTTTTTCGATAGCTTGCAACTGAGCTAATTACTTGACTCAAATCCTTGTCTTCTCTCAGCGCGAACAACCTTAGGGACTCGCCCGCAGACAAGACCTTAGTTGGATTTCCGTCATAACTCAGCCATAGGGGTTACGATAAGTTCGGCCCGTAGACTCCCACCTCGCGCGCTTCGTGCCTATTCCATTTGAAGAAGTCACCGCGCTCGGGCATAACACCTATCACTGCTAACACAATAAGTAGTATTGCTACCTTTGCCACAATGGAGCTAAATACTTATTTGAGTGCTATTCCTGCCCTTGCATGGTGTGTGACCCCTGCTTAGGATTAGCGCAGTGGCTCATGGACAAGGCCTGTGCCAAGGACATAGACTTCCAGTGTCCCAGTTGCCATGAACTTGAAGAGGGTGGTGCAAAGTGCAAAGAGCTACATCCATACTTTGTGAGTTATTCATCATTCACAATCTGAATAGAGCTGACATGAGCCCAAGCCATTCATGCACACAGTACTCAGGAAGAGAATTCCCATGTTGGATAAGCCAGTCATCATCTCAGGGATTTGTAAAAGGGCATCTAAGTCTCAAGTGTGTGCCAGGTCCACCCTTATTCTTGAGCTTGTCTGCACAGGAGTGGAAATTCAAGGTTCATTGCCATCACTCCTCAACATGACCATTGAGGAATATCACACAAGAAACTCCCTTCTGTATCAAAAAATAATCTTCGATTTTGGTACAGATCAAAAGTTTAGTCAGTGGAGTATGAGGATCAAAAAACTGGGTGAAAAGTTGGGCATGTATGCCTTCAAGCACAAGATCATATTCATTACTGTCCATAGCAAAGTCACCTGTAGTGACCTGTTTTCAGGGAAGGGTGAGAGTGGTAAGGATGTTGCAATGGAGGTTGGCAAGGTATGTGACTGACATGAGGAGGTTACTCTCTCTCATCCATTTCAGTTCATGAAATGCCTGTTTACTTCTCCTCTGCAAAACATGGTCTATGGTTCTATGCTGTTTATGTTGACTTGTGGCCCCATGGTTTCCTTTGAACAATCATTCACAGCATTGAAGCAATCTATTGTGCAGTCAGTTATTAATGATTGATCTATAAAGAACCTTACTAACTGTTGCCAAGACTCCAGCCAGAGTATATGGTCGCATTCACCACCAAGGATTTCCTCAATGCAGTCATCAAAATTTTCATTGTGTCATATGGTGTCAAAGTCTTGATTGAAGGACATGCTCTGGAGAACATTATCCATGACCTACTTGACATCTCACTCGAACTTTGGATGCACACTGATGTGATGCTCTTTCATCTTTCAGGCCTAGGATTGCCAAGGGTGCCATGGTTACTTAGCCCTGCCCCACTCACTGCTGCCCCTCTCCTCACCATATACAGGTACTCATGGTACCACAGCCATCAGCACCCATGGGGCACATCTCTATCCATGGGGTGCCTGGAATGTGGTGCCATCCATCCATGGGCATGATCAAAGCTGGACTCTCATCCACTGAGTGGTTATCACCTGAAGACTCGAGTGTCCACAGCTGCAAGTGTGCCTTTGAAGTGCATACTCAGCCTCTACTGGTTGAATATGACATGCTCCATGGCAACCCTACATCTGGGTGGCTCAAATACACTGTTTGCGCTGCAGTGCCACTGTGATTTTGTGCATTTGTCTGTCATTTTATACACTTGATACTTCCAAAGTAATGTAATACTGTGTCTGCATGCAATCTCACTTTATTGGTTTGACAACTTGGTGTGAGTAAACAAGGTGACAATGTCATGTACTAAATATCAGTGCAAGTAAACTTTGAGTACTGAATGTCAGTGCCTAAAAAAATGTGGTACTGAAGGTCAGTGCCTAACAAAATGTGGTACTAAAAATCAGTGCTAACAAACTCAGGGCACTGGTTTTCAGTGTTGCAAAATATGTGGTACCAGGAATCAGTGCCAGCAACTGAAATTTAGTGCTCCAAAAAATGCACACTGAAAATCAGTCCCATGAAGACAACACTGAAAAGAAGTGCCCACTAGATCAGTCCCAGTGGTACTGATTTTGCTCAAATCAGTACCACTGGCACTGATATTCAATGTGTTTACTTCCCACAGTGTTCATGTACTCCTTCATAACATCGCACCATTGCATTCCTTCATCTGTCCTCAGTGAATATTCTTCACACTGTTTAGACCATGCTTTCTGCATTGGCCCAAAGATGCCTACATCAAGTGGCTGCAGTCGGTGTGCTGTGTGCAATTGCAGTCTCAATCATTTCAGATGTGACATGAGACCCATGACCATCATAGATCAGTATGACTGGCTTCCCAGGCTGATTGCGAGTGGCAACTTGAGGAATAAATGACTGTTTGAACCACTCTGAACAAAGGTAATCACTTGTCCAGCTGTTCTCTGATGTTGCGAGTCTTTATTTGCCTGTGCATCAGCACAATGATGTGTTGAGCAACGTAGCAACTTACACAATGTTGGGATCAACCTCTGTGGATTCTCTGTCAATAACACCCCCAGCAAATATGAATCCAGGGTGCAGGCTAGTCCCATCTGCACATACAGATTTTCAATGACAGTCACAAGATCAAGGCTTTCACCCTTGATCTGATATCATTGCCTATCATTTTGGGAGAAGAAAAATTTGTGCCCATTGGATTTCCTTCCCCCACTCAACTAAATCCCTTTCTTGTCCATGTTATACACATTCTCTGATGGTATGTCATGTTGCTTCAGGAGTGATTCCAGATCCTCGAAATGCTTCTTGACAACTGTGTAGTTGAACCCCTGAGCATGCTTTGGGTCAATGCCAGATGGGCAGCACAGTGCAACCTCGGGATGGCACCAGACAAAACGATCAATCCATTTTACAGATGGATATTTTTGGCACATGTCATAGACATATGGCTGGATGGTTTCTTTTGAATTGGGCAACCAGAGGCACTGAGGAAGAGCATCCAGTCAACCAGAACCTTCTCCTGTGCCTCAGTTAGGAACTGCAACTTTGCATGAGCATGAGATCAAGGCTCAGCATGGTCATGAGCTCATCTTTGCAGCATTGAATATTTGTGAATGATGCCTTTGTTCTTGGCTGCCTCAAGAAGACTCTGAACCTCCCCTTTTTTCCAGGACTGAATTGCACTCTGGATGTGGTTTTCCAAGTCAGATGCTGAGATTTCAGGATTGGGAGCTGAGGGCTGGTTGCCATGCAGTTGTGCTGCCTTAGGCATGTTTCCTATGGCAAGCTTACTCTTTTTTTTCATCAACCTAGGACATCCACTAGACTTTGTACTAAGTGCTGTGCCATACTGAGCTCACTAAAGCAAACTTTAAATGTGCTGATGTGCATGATGCCCCTATCCCTGTTTTTTGTCATGCTCTGGTAGAATCTTGAATATTGCCATTGAGTTTCCCTTTGATTCACAGAGCTGATGAGCCTAGAACATTCACTCTGACATGACGGAGCTCCCCTAAAAATTTCAAGTCCACTGCTGCAGCAGATCTCTGGGATCTGGGCCAAAATACCATAAAAATGCAGTGTTTCACACCACTCTCCTTAAAATTTCCATGCTAGCAAGTTACCACAATATATTCTTTTCATATTAAAGTAGAGTACCTAGTGGAATAGACCTCTGGCAATGTGTCTGCAATGTTATATTGTGAATATCTTAGGTGCTGCAAGCAGGAGACATGATTGTGCATTACCTGTCCATTGTGCATTGCTTGTCACATGATAGTACATCTGCAAATGTAAGTGAGTTCTAAGAGACTCTTAGAGCCCCCATTTAGCAAGTAGTATAAGTGCTGTCTAAGTGTGATGTAAAGTGACATTCTTCACTCTTCATTAGATTATCACATGACACAGTGATGTGTTGGATATGTTATTATTCGTCTGATTGGCACATGATATTGTCTAACACTATCAAAGATACAATAAGATGTTAAGGAGCTCCTATCATCTCCTTTCCTCATGCAATCAAATCATCGACTAACATGGTGTAGTCCATAAGTTCAGTTCCCTGCAAGTTCATAATATGATGAGTTATACTTTGATGTATAGTGTGATTGTCCTTGAGACTGAAATCAAGTGCCAAAAACATTCCACTGGAATATTCTCTGAGTACCAGTTGCAAGGGCAATCACCACTTTGAGGTCCCTTTGCTCAATGTTGACAAACCTACAATACTGCTTCTCTCCCCACAGGAGATTGAGGACGAGTTGTACAAGTGCAGGGTGGCCAAAGGGAACCACAGCGATGCTATTATTGGCTGCATACTTAAGATGATTGAGTACACACATCAAACAGAGAAAGGATTTGTACCATTTTAGTTTCATCTAGCCACATGAAATCTTTAAGGAGGTACAGGATCCAGTCTTTGCATAGCTGCACCTCTTCACTGTGCCTTTGTACTGGAACTGTGAGGCTGTAGAGTGGTAACACCAGGATGCACACAACACTCCTGAAGTCAGAGCATATGTTCATTGTGATCTCCTTCAACTTGTTTGTCTCACTCATTATGTTGGTTCTTTAACCAGTTGCCTGCAGCACTGTCAGATCATCAACAGTAATGTTCACAGGCTTACCTCCAGTGCGGCCTAACATGGTTTCCTGCAATGCCTGTGTAATTTTCACAGATAACTCAGATCTCTTGGGCAGGAGGTTTGTAATAAAAAGGTGCCACTTCAGGTTGAAACACACAGCAATGCTGATGTCAGCTGCTTGAAGTCCTGGGTTGATAGTGGCTGAGCTGCTAGCATCTGGTGTTGGATGTACTGGAGGCAGTGAAGCCAAGGCAGAGCCTCATGCAATACTCTGCATTGTTTGAACAACTTGCTGTAAAATGTGTTAGAGTTGCTTACATACATTTGCTACAATGCTTAGTACTCACTTGAATAACAGATTGCCTGGAGATGACAAAATGCTGGTTGGATGCTTCCTCTCCACCTCGAAGGGGCCTTTCAATGTGCCCAATGCATTGTGTTTGAGTGGAATATGGAAAGATGTGGGATGATAAGTGGTGTAGCTGTCTTGTGACAAGGGCTGATGGTGCATAATCAAAGTTTGGGGGTGAATACAGATATGCCATTGAACCCATCAGATGTCCAAGATCTGTGGGGATTGGTGGTGCAGTGCTGTAGCTAGTGTTGGCAGGATTGAAGGGGACTGGTGGTGCAGTGCTGTAGCTAGTGTTGGTGAGATTGAAGGGGACTAGTGGCATGGTGCTGCAGCTAGTGTTGGCAGGATTGAAGGGGACTGGCAGTGCAGCATTGTGGTTTGCATTGGCAGGATTGGAGATTGGGGGATGAGGGTGTTCATGTCCAGTGTCTGTGGTAGCTAGGAGACCTTGATCATGGTCATTGGGGTGCTGATAGTGAAGAAAGTTCACTTGAGGCCACAGTTGTTGGTCAATTGTGGATGCTGTCAATGGTTGCTTGTCTGCAACTGATGCTGGTGACAGCTGATGATGACAATGACCTGGCTGACACATGCAACAAAAAACTTGATGGTGCAGAAGGGGGGATGAAGTTTGGATCCATGGACTGTGTGTCCTCATGATGGTGAGCATTGAGAGCATGTGTCATGTTGAGGAGGGAGAGGGAGGGAGGGGGGGTAGGAATAGTCAAAGCAGTGGGGGGTGCAGTAGAGGCAGGAGTATCAAAGACAGAGGTCATGGTTGTAGAAGGTGTGGTAGTGGCATGTGGCCAGTAGATAAACTGACCTCAGCCATGCAAGGGGAGAAGGAGCTCTATGCTGGTAAAGTGGGGGAACCTGGAATTGCAAAACAGCTTCACATCTTTGTGCACCTGACTAGATGTTAGTGGATGATCTGACAAGAAAAAAACTACATTACCTTTACATACCAATCCCAAAGATCAGCATTGTCCAGCAAGACCATTGCACCATTCTCATTGTTGTAAGCAAAGCCAGAGGTCACTGATTTAAGATTGGTGGTGGCATAGTAGGATTTTTTAAGCTGGATAATTGTTAGCAAGGCAAAAAAAAAGAATGATACAATGACTTACTGCCTTGAACTTCTGCTCACACAATTCAGCTGTCTTATTGCTGTTATCCAGACCCAGTGGATAATTATGAGCCATGTGGGCTGCTGTGGCATTCCATGTAGCCTTCTTAAAGTTCCCATCACTGGCCTGTGAAAGATGAGAGGCCAAGAAATCCAGTAATGCACCTTCCTCCTCTGTTGTCCATACTGCAGCTTTCTTGCAAGTCCTGGGGGGAGGCAGGGGGTTCTGTGGGTCCAGAGGATTGATTTTAAGGCCATGCGAGCACAACAAGCAGGTTGATCCCACAGATGAGCCAGACATTCGATGATCACAGTAACTGGGTGACAATGGTTGTGTACCTCAAGTGGATGCTCCTCCAAGCTCTCTGCAAACCCATCAGTATGAATATTGCAAGGGATCACCCTCCCATGTTCCTCCCTCACCTCCTCAGAGCCTCAGCACTGAGGAAGTGCAGATGCCACTTCAACTTTGCAACAAGAGTTACTCAGGGGACAATCTTTCTGTGTCCATCCCTCCTGCTGCTCATAATCTATCAGCTTGTGTTAAGCATTCTCATACCAAGTTCATGCCATACAAAAAGCCCAGTGCTATCAAGATCTGCTTTGCTGAGAAGTCTCTTGGCAGACAATCAGTTAATGATATCACCTTGGAAGATGCACAAGTGGTAAAATCTCTCATCTACCTGTATGTGCACTATATGTTCTTACAAATATTCTTCAGGGAAGAGCACTTTTTGTCCACAGATTGATGGGGTTGTCTGAGAGAGCCTTCCAAAAGGCTTTGGCAATGAAGGAGGATGACCAAGAATTGAGGCAACTCCATGCTCTTACCACTGCTTGGGAGATTGAGGCTATCAACCACCAGAGAGATTTCCTCCTTGTGATGCAAGAAGAAGAGACTCAGTTCATTTGGTCAACTAAAGATCTCCAGCTTTTCAAGGATATCATGGAGTGTTGCTCAGTCAGTCAATTGGAAGAACAGGACGAGTACCACATTGGGGCTTATGGACAGGATTTAATGTTGCTTGCATTGGAGGATGAACACCTCAGCCAGATGGAGGAAGTCACAGGTAAACTCGAGGACAACAAAGTGCTTGACTCCAAAGATAATCTGATGGCCTTCTTGGCCACTTCCATTAATGTTGATGAAAGGATGAAAGTGACACAGATGTGAGTGAAGAAGATGAAAGTAAAAATTGATCTTGATAATTTCAGTAAGCCTCAATCCTTCTTTGCATTATCACAACTCTAACTGCCATGCCAGCCTCAGTGGCTATCTGTTCTCTTCTTTTTCTTTTCTTTAGTCAATTAGCATGATCATTCCACATTGTGTAATGAAACTCTCCACACTTTCCCTGTATAAAAATTTGTATTTGATTGATGCCTGATATACATGATAAGATACACATGCATAAGCCACAATGTCTCCTGGACAAGGATGTGTTGTGTTTTCAACCACCATGAGCTCACAGGCCAAAAGCAAAAAAGCAAAGGTGAGCAAATATGTGCACTCAGAAAAAGATGCTAACACTTTGGTTTCTTACAGACAAGGCCAAAGTACCCTGCTTCATCTGGTTTGAACCCAGTGGGAAACCCAGCAGCAAGCCAGCTGAACATTGCGGAAAAAGGAAAGCCGAGTCCATTGTGATGTCTGAAGGTGGATCGAAGTGCTCTCAGCCCCTGTTGGCCAAAGTGCATGCTGAAGAAGATTGCAGTTCATTCATCACCACCATCACCTCCAGGCTTGATAAATTCATGCATGCAATTGCTGCCCCATTTCCCCCACCACCCATTACCAATCCCCTTGTTGACACTGCCATGGACTACATCAACAACATGTCACAGCTCTCAACAGACAATCAGATCAACATCAGTGACTACTTCCTCAGCATGTCTCCAGATGAAGTGACTATTTTCCTCAAGCATCAGGAACCAGAAAAGCAGATTTGGGTGCAGCATCAGCTGATGAAGTACCGGGATGGGCAGAGATAGGTGTTTTTTTTATTTTTATTTTATTTTATTTACAATATACAAATGTACCCCCCCCCCCCTGCATATCTTTTCAAGTCCCCCCCCCCTCCTTTATACAAATATGTACATAATAAAATGTACATGACTATGACTAGCTTCCTTTTGACAATGGAAGTTAATTTTCTACATGAGTGTGAAATAATTGTAAGAACATATATTTGTACACCATGAAATCTGAATGTTCAGGCTCAGAGAAGGCCCCTAATTGTAAGCTGGTGCTGATAGTCAATCCACATCTCCTCTGCAATGTTGTCACACCTATTATCAGCCCTTCTCCTCTCTGCAGCATCTGCTGGTCCATCACCAAGGCTTCCAATACCATCACCCTCTCCTATGTCCATGGCAAGTTCAGGGTCAAGGAACTCTTCTGGATCATAGTGCCATATGAAATTGTAGAGGGCACAGAGAGCAGCAGGTACTTGAGTTTGGGTGTGGATGCTATATTCAGGGGGAATTTGAAGAATCCTCCATCTGCATTTTATAACACCAAATATCCATTCAATGGCATTTCTAAGTCCAGCATGGCAAAGGTTGAATAACTCCTCTTGGTTTTGAGGTCTATAAAATAGAAGTTACAGGTACACTGAGCAGGATGGAATAGCAACTTACCTTAATCCAGCCTGGCACCATTCTTTCAGATGGTAATGAACACCTCAATAGGGAACCAGAAGTGCATCACAGGTCCCAAACCCTGCATCTGCAAGAAGGTACTTCCCAGGTGGCATGTGCAAGTCATTCCTGTGTGCATCATGTCACATGGTTGCATCTGCAGTTGACCCATCAAAGCCAGTGAGGGCATATGTGAAGAAGAAGTCAAAATCACAGATGAAGAGACAGTTTTGAGATAGGTAGCCCTTCCAGTTCCTCATGTAAGGCTGGTCCTCAGCAGCAGTGAATGCTTGAATATGAGTGCCATCAACTGCACCAATACAATCCTGGAAAAATTGGAAGTGTGGGTCACTAGTAATCATAGTTGATATGGGAGTGTTGTTGGTGGGGAATTGCACTTGGGATGCATAGAATTGTCTTCCAGAAAAGAAAGCCAACATTGCTTTGAAATATCTAGAAAATTATGAGAAAAATATCAGACAGTCCAATGAACTCCCTACCTAGTGATGGTCCCTGGTGAGTGTTGGAACCTCTCAGAAACATGCCAGGATGACAACCCAGTAACACAGGTGTAGAGGAATATCCCAAGTTGTTCCTCCACAGAAATTCCATTGTGAGAAGGCACAAAACCATGATGGGTGAGCACCTGCATCAGGTGATCAAAAACCCCATGGCTGATGCCAAGGCAAGTCTGTATCCTGTCTGGATGACCATTCAGGAGCTCTAGCATCCACCCCTCACCAGTCAGGATTGAGGTATGGTAGGGGATTGGTTCTGAGTCAGAATGAAAAAGGAGGTCATAGAGGCATAGCACCTGGATCATCACTGCTACTACAAGTGCAGCAAGATGGCAATGGTTATGGTGCTGGAGCTGCTGTGCTTCAAGATCCATAGCAGAGTTGTTTGATCTGTTATCACAATGTTATCTATTGAACCACAAGTTGTGTTGTTGTCTTATATAATCATCACATGACTACATTACTGAAGCAGAAGCCCAAAACTTGGACTTCGCATTCATGTGGGCATGCACAGCTTATATAATCATCATGTGACTACATTGCCAAAGTTGAAGTCAAAAACTTCGACTTCAACTTTGGAGGGTGAATGGCACCTTATACTCCCAGCATTGGGTCTGGATGCCACAGATCACAACCTATCTGAGGGAACAGCCCAACAGTGGCTTGGGAAACTTGGGTATGAACTAAAGGAGGCAAAAAAAGGTATTTATATTGATGGCCATGAGCAGGAAGATGTGGTTGCATATCATAAAGAGTTTTTGGCAAAGTTTGCAGAGAACAAAAGGTATGTTTGATGTTATCACATAGACATTTTCTCAATAGAGTATTAGGCTATGATGCACATACACTGATGACTGTCTTGAGCCTGTTGAGCCTCAATTGGGACCTGGTGAACAGTTTCACATACTGGTCATGCATGATGAAAGTATTGTTCATGCAAATGAACTTCAATGCCAGCTATATGTGTATGATGGTAAGATGCCACTGCAGAAAAAAGGCCAAGGCCATGCAATCCATATCTTGGATTTTATTGTCAAGCAGACTGGTTGACTTGCATTATCAGAAAGCCAGGTCAAGGAGAATGCAGGCTTACCCATAAATCATCAACTCAAATGTACAGATGCCTGTGAAATGATTATCCTGGGAAGAATAATGACAGATTCTGGACAAATGAAAAGCTTGTCAAGCAAGTCAGTCATTAAATTTTATTTTCCAGAATAAAGCAATTACTTACAAAACAAGGTGAAAAAAGTGATTGCAATCTTTGAACATATGTACCCAAATTCAGTCACCAAGTTTGTCTTTGACCAGTCCTTGGCACATGGTGCATTTTCCAAAGATGCCTCAATGCAAAAGAAATGAATGTTCAACCTGGAGGAAAACAATGGCTGATGCACAATACCTTTATTCCTATGGACAATCCAAACCCAGATCTCCATGGAAATCCCCAGGTAATGGTCTTTCCACCAGACCTTCCACCTCACCCTGACTTTGAATTCCATGGCCAAGCAAAGGGGATGTAGTGCATTCTCAAGGAGTGTGGTTTGATTTCTATTTTACAGGCAGCAAATGGTGGGAAGGTAGTTGGGGAGTGTAGGACATGCAAACTCCCTCTTGAAGCACAGGAGCAGCTGCACTGGGAGGCACTGGCAACAGCAGAGGGGGCTGACAAGCCAGGCAAGAGTAATCTTGACATGCTGCAGGAACCCTTGAGGACTGGTTGCTGTATGCAGAAAATGCTCACCAATCAACAGGACTTCAAAGATGAGAAACCACTTATTCTGATTCTGATTGAGGAGGCAGACACTGATGCTGGTTTCTGCCCAAGTTTCACTGCAAGTTGAATCCAATTGAAATGTACTGGGGATGGATGAAAGTGCTGTAAGGAATCTGCATTCCCTAGACACATAAACCCCTATCATCAACCATTCTATGATTATCATTATGTCCCCAGACCACTCACACCCACTACTATTCACATGCTACCTTCCTGCCTACCTTGCTGCCTTCTCATGCCCTTGCTCCCTCTCATGCACTGCTATACTCATGGCTGTTGTGCTCTGGTTGCTTTCCTTCCTTTGGACTCTTTTCTTTTACCACAGTCTCTGTTCCCCTTACACTAGTATACCCTCAGCCCCTGTTTTGGCCTGTCCTGTGTTTACATGCTGTTGTGCAGCTTTCCTTTACTTGTACCTTGTCCTACTTAGGTTCCAGGTTTTCCCAGGCTATAAAGCCCTGTACTTAGGTACAGAATGATACCTTTTGGCACTCAGAAGGTCACTATGAGTTTTCTTTTCACTTTGTCTACACCACACACCTTGCAAACTGCCACACATGAACTATATATACTGCTTGCACCACTTGCATCACCAGTACAACACCACAGAACACACCACACATGCCATGAAACACTACCACTACAAAGCACAGAGTCCCACCTTCCAGTCTTGGCAGTCCAGAATCCCTTGGGACAAGCAATTCATTCCCTTCATTTTATTGTTGTTATCTAAGCCATCTAGCATGCATTATACAGCTATATGGACTTTTCCTACAGTGCATGTGTCAAACCAAACATGTGGCCACCATGCAGTGAGAGCATTGCCATGTGACTGACCTTGATGTGCTATAACTCCACCACAGGCTTCTGCACAGCAAGGGACAGCACATTCCTCACCACAAAACACCTTGTTCCACAAATTCTGGATGATTGTCCAGCAAAAGTGATCTGTGCTTTCTTTCACAAGACCTGGCATTACATGGATGCCTACAGGTGTGAATCACCTATCTTGATCTCACTCAGTCTCACCTGTTCACAGAAAAGGTCTCAATGCTCATCAAGCTGAGTTTATAGTTAAGAAGTATAAGTCCCACAGGCACTGTGGCCAAACACTCATGATGAGCATTGGTGAATTGCTTAACTGACTATGGTGGCATCTGAATGTCTATATATGGTAACTCTGATCATCTCCACATGAAGTTCACTTTTGGAGGGGGTTGACCACCAAGATGTTGAATTTTTGAACTTTTTTTCTGATAATCCTAAAGCTATGATCTAATATAGTGCATTTGTATACTCAAATCACTAGACCATGCTGAATTGCAGATGTAGTCACAGTTTTGTTTGTGTCTACATCTGAGTTGCCTATTTTGAACAAATGAAACTGTACCCCCTTGCACAATGTCATTCCTTGTATTTCATAGGTAGAGACTTGGCAGAAGTTGGAGGTAACTCCAACAGAATAAGGACAGAGAAGTTCAGAGGTAGAAACTTCATTGATATTTGTACTGAGGATACACCACTGTACTGTACAGGCTTTTGTACTCTACAGAGGACAGTGAGGCAGTACAGTACTTGCAATCAGAATTCATATTTAGGGACTGATAAGCTATCAAGTGAAAACTTATCAACAGAGGAATGGAGGGTTGATGGAGAACATACAGTGGACAAGAAAGAAAGATGGAAAAGGAGACAGCCCCTTCAGGGTAGCATTGACACTACAGACTTGAACCACTACACCTCAGCCCACAAGGAGTGTGCACTGTGTTGTACCTGAGGATGCAGTACCAGAAAGACTACCACCCACTGAGTGGATACCAGCAGAGATATGCATTTGTGTGTGACAAGCACCAACACCACACTGATGCCAGGTATGTTACAGGGGATATTGAATATTAAGCATGCCTTGCAAATTGATGATAAGAAATAGTTCCATACCTAGATATGCCATTCTTAATGTTTTAACCATATACAGACTTTATTGACCTTCTGGCTCCATCAACAACTTGTTTGCTGAAAACATCTCAGAACAATAACTACATAAATAGTGAAAATGTCCACTTACACATGTGATACTCAGTAATGATTTTGATAATAGCATTGCATAAACCATCCATGTCACCATTATGGTCATGAAAAGCTGCCTTGACAGCTTTTGAAATGGCAGTCTGCACATTGGACCTGTTGTATTCCTCCACACCCAATGACAAAACCTTCTGCCAAAGATGTTGCCCTTGCTGTATTAAAAAGTAAGAATGCTCAGCAACAAGCAAGCATCCTAGAGCAGTGAGCATATCTAGTGTAGGCAATGGGAAACACTTACCAATGGCATGCTTAGCCATGGATTGGAGACTTCTAAACCTCCCCAACAAAGTGACTCCTCTGGGCAGAGCTGGCATTTGGACAGCAGTATTGACTTCAAATTTTGGCTGTTATTCTATAGGTTTGCCTTAGACAAAAAGGGATAGAAATTCAATGCTTACAAACTAAGAATTTTAATGGCACATTGGTGCCAAAGATGGTCAAAATAAATATGGATGAGACATGTAGCCAGTTATGGCAGTGGTAAGGTAGCACACCTCCTGCCAAAGAAGAGGTCACACCAAGGGCACCACAACACACAAGCATGCAACCACTCACATTCTGCCATAAAAGATGGTTTAGGGAATGCATGAAACTTAGCAAATATAAGGGTTAACATGGTAGAAACACTTACAAGCTACAAGTCAAGTGGAACCCAAAGTACAGAAATCAAGGGAATCAGGAAAGATCCAACATTGGACTAAATTCACACACCTTCTGTTATACCATCATCATGAACAGTGCAAGGTATCCCACTGAGCAGACATCCAGCTAAACATGCTATGAAACCACTCACCTCCTGTCATGCCACCAACATCAAGAGTACAAGTGAGGCCATTAGGCAGACAGCCAGCTAAACTTGCCATGAAATCACTCACCTCCTGTCATGCCACCAACAGCATGAGTGCAAGTGAGGCCATTGAGTAGCCATCCAGCTAAACATGCCATGAGATCACTCACCTCCTGTCATGCCACCAACAATGTGAGTGCAAGTGAGGGCATTGAGCAGATGTCCAGCTAAACATGCCATCAAATCACTCACCCACTGTCATGCCACCAACATCAAGAGTGCAATGAGGCCATTGAGCAGACATCCAGCTAAACTTGCCATGAAACCACTCACCTCCTGTCACACCACCAACATAAAGAGGGAAAGTGAGGCCATTTAGCAGACATCCAGCTAAACATGCCATGAAATCACTCACTCCCTGTCATGCCACCAACATCAAGAATGCAAGTGAGGCCATTGATCAGACATCCAGCTAAACATGCCATGAAATCACTCACAACCTGTCATACCACCAACATCAAGAGCACAATTAATGCCATTGAGCTGACATTCAGCTAAACATGCCATGAAATCACTCACAACCTGTCATGCCACCAACATCAAGAGTGCAGGTGAGGCTATTGAGCAGACATTCAGCTAACCATTAGATGAAATCACTCGCATACTGCCATGCCACCAACATCAAGGGTATGAATGAGCCCAGTCAGCGAATCCAGCATGACCACACCATTAATTACTCACCCCCTGTTAATAGATGCAAGGGAACATAAAATAGGAGCATCATTGACTCCACATGTTAGAAGAATTTGGTCACTTACATTACAATTTGGAAACCATTTCAGCAAATCACATTCCATCTCTTTTGCATCCACCTGCAATCTTCCCATGAAGCCTAGCTCCATTCTGTTTCTCAATGTCCTTCAGAAGATCAGTACTTGCACCAAAACACACATGCCTATTTACCTGTGCACAGCATATTCAACACATAGTGTAATACTTGACTGCTGTGTTGATATAAGCAACCTTTGTAAACCTTCCTCATTCAACATATTTGCTGTGCACTGCATCAAAGCATTGCAGTCTGCACTCCTTTGATCCATTTCTGCCACCAGGATTTTCTAGTAGCACAATCTCTGAGTAATGAAACACCCATTTTGAAGTGACACATATCCTTTAGGGGGAAACTTGCACTTGCCAAGCTCATGTTTTATGTGTGCAAGCCACTTCTCCAACAATTCCCTTTCCCTTTCTGCAATCTTTTCCTGTGCTCCTTCTATCTCCCAACCCTCATCCTCAAGTTCTTCAATTGCATCCAGATGCAAGGTATCCACCTTTGTCAATAACACTATCACAGGAACTAAACAGATCCTTAGTTACATGACAAACAGCCAAGCAAAAGAATTCACCATGTCCTGTGTCACACTCATTGAAGAACTTCTGCTCAGCAGCAGTTACTGTCCTGTAATTCTCAGTCATGGGGATGCAAAACCTACATTCTGTTGCCTTAGACTGTAGTTACCCACACTTTATTCCTTACCAAATGACATGGATTCATTTATTCACCCTCAGAGTGGCTGCACGGTCAACCACAAATTCCTTCATTTGGTCAAACTCTTCTGCAGCCCCTGCTTCAAACCCACATGAATCATGGAACACAAAGCCTGGGTTACTCTGAAAAATGAGCTCTTGCTCAATCCTATGGTAGCCATGCTGGAAGCATTTAGCATTCATATGAATATCCATGAGTCAACATGGCATCTTACTGCCAAAGTGCCTTGCATGACAGTATCATCAATCTGAAAATTGTTAGATAGATATTACAGGATTCTACTGACCACATAGGACTATACCTTGTTTCCTTTTACATTGAAGACCTCTGGCTTATCTGTAGAGTTACACACTCTTTGGAGGATGGTGGTTTTTCCCACATTCGCTCTGCCCATGACCAGAACTCAAAAGCACTCAATTTTTATGTACTGTTGAGCCACCTCAGAACTGAGATGGTAATGAGGTCCAGAAGATGTAGTTGCTGTGACTCAACATGAGATGATTTGCATGTCACAAAGAGCATCAATAATACCAGGTGAAGTACCTTCAATCTGAGAGGGAACTGGACCCACCACATCACCAACAAGATCACTGGTTTCTGCATCCCCATATCAAGCATGTCATATTCCATAGACTAGAACAATATCATACCTGTGGCTATGGCTGCAGTTGCTGTAGGAGCTAAATCACTTGGATCGCTTTGGTGGGGGCAATGACACTCACTGCCAAGCGACTTGAACCACATTTTAAAATGACCAGGAGCCATGAAAATGTAAGATATGATTCTGTGTACTTCACAATGCAGAACCTAAGACATGTGGAGGATCAGTGTGAAGCCTGTCATTGTGGTATTGACATCAATTGATAGCAAGCCTGCACCTATCTTCTTACACCCATGGGTGTGCTTATGTAATTAAGTACAGCCTTGCAACGTTGACCTCCATGATCAAGAATAAACAGACTTAGAGCCAGTTCAGAAACTGGTGTAGAGCATTGCTGAGCATTACTGACTCATGTTGGCTTGCTTGAGTCTAACAGTGCATGCCAAAATTTAGTCAGAGCCATAATCTGTGCCAGGCTGCTGATAGTGATAATCAATCAGCATGTACTACAGTATGTAACCCTACATGTGCCCTCTCAGCCTAGAACAACACCGTCATCTGGTAAAGTATATTGTGTTGGTCCTCAGCATTGTTCTCTGTGCAGTCACACATCTCCTCAAATCAGATCTTGGGCAAGAACCTCAGCCATACCACACCTCCTGCCTGTCTGGTGAAGACTGGGTGCTGGAACTGCTTGCAGGTCACCCAGAATGCATTCATTGCGAACTTGGGATGCATGTGGAGGTTTTCCAGCAGCTTGTTGTCGCTTTGCAGCAGCTTGGACTCAAGAATTCAAGGTTTGTTTCTCTCGAGGAACAACTTGCAATATTCCTGTATACATGCGTCACTGGCCTGCCATTCAGACATGTAGGGGAGCACTTTCAATGATCAAATGATATGATTTCACAGTATGTATTTAACACTCCTCCAATGTAACTACTGCATGGAGTTTCCAGTTATTTCCATATGATACTCACCATGCTTGCAACACAACCTTTTTATACAGACTACATTCAATTTCCAGCTGGTGATACTGTTCCTTCGAAGATCCAAAACAACCCAAAATTCTGGCCATACTTCCACAATGCTATTGGTGCCATCAATGGAAGCCATATCCATGCATCTCCCCCCACCTACATACATTCAAACTACTGGAACCACAAGGGATATGTTTCCCAAAACTGTCTCTTTGCATGCAATTTTGACTTATGGTTTATATACTCTCTTACAGGCTGGGAGGGCAGTGCAGCAGATGCCTGTGTCTATGAATATGCAACCACACATGACTTGAGGATTCCTGAAGGAAAGTTTTTGCTTGCAGATGCCAGATTTCCTGCAGACCGAACATTGCTTGTTCCACACCATGGTGTATGCTACCATTTAGCTGAATGGGGCTGTGCTAGTGTAAGGTAAGTAATCACACTTACAATCCCTTGACCATCCTACTGATGAAAACTGCAGGCCTGTGAACAAGCAAGAATTGTTCAACTTGTGGCATGTGTCAGCCCACAATGTTATCAAACATATTTTTGGTGTCATAAAGTGTCATTTTCATATCCTTTCACTAGTTCCACCATTTGATCTCCAGATGCAAGCACAGCTGCCAGCAGCACTTTGCACCCTTCATAATTTCATCCACATCCATGATCCATTCGAAGGCAAACTTCCAGAAGACTTTGGCACTCCATTTGATGCAGGTGTGCAAGGTGGCGATAGGTTGGAGGGGCCTGGTATACTGGAAGGCAATGGAGAACATCCAGAGGCACACACATTGTGTGATCAAATCACTGAGGCAATGTGGATCAATTACCAGGCCATCCTGAGGGAGAGAGAGGCAGTGGGACACATGGAGCTCCTTGAAGACAAGTCTGACATGGATGTGGATGGCACTGAGGACAAGTAAGTGGTGAGGAATATACCTAGGAACTACTGCCCTTCCATGTACATTTTTTTAATGTGAAGACTTAATTCCAGTGATTACTCTTGATAAGTCATCCAAAACAGTGTGAATTACAACAACAAATGAAAGAGGTACATATCAGTATGGAAAGTATATGCAGCTACATTGTAATTCAAAGTGGTCCCCCCTGATCAACACCACCTTCCTGCAGATGACCAGCAATTGATCATTGATACTCTTGGTTGGTGATGGCTTGATGAAGAGTGGTATTTGTGATGGCACATTTTTATAGGGCAGGATATGTCATCCACTCTGATGTATTCATGTTAGATGAACTGATATGCTTGATATCATATTGATGAGCAATCATCATTGTATAGTTGGAAGGAAGGTTGAAACTCTGCCTTGTAGTTCATGGAGCATCCTGGGCACATTAACTGACACATGTGTCGGCAATGGGTTGTGCACCGGTTTCCGAACTGGCTCTTAACCAACCAGAACCCCCGACATATCACGTGACTCATGTGACATGCCGTGCCGCCGGTAATGTCACGTGACATGTCAGGACTGCCAATCCACCTGTCATTCCTCGCTCGGAGCGAAAAAACTTCCGCAGCTTCCATTCAAGCTTTCTCTCAGAACCTTTGACAGGTAGAATGTTGTCCAAGTTACCTTTCATTCCTCGCTCGGAGAAAAAATAACTTCCGCGGCCTTCGTTCAAAGATTTCTCTCAGAATCTGGCTCGCCACCAGGGGTTACATGTCAGACCGATCTCCTGCCTATCTGCCAATCCAAGGGAAACCTGACCAACTTCGGAATGCATAAAAACTCCCCAGGACAACACTAATCCCCCAGGTCCTCCGAGTCCTTTCACCTTACGCGCGTCAGTCATTATGTCTCCTCCCAGTCCCAAGATGTGATGCTGCTCGTTTTCTGTGACGGTACCGGTGCAGATGGAACTCTCACAGGTACTGAAGGTGTGCTGTGTTTCCCTGGCCTTGACGCAGCAGGTCTGACGTCCGTTTTTTCGCACCAGTACATGCACCACGCCAGTTTGCTACCAACGTTCTGCGCCTTTGTAAGTCACCTCCAACAATCAGAGAAACTGGGCTTATTCGAATGCTCGTGCCCACGTTAGCGCGAGCCATCCTATAGACCTCTGCGTATGTCGCTGCTTCAGAGATGAGATCCCATTTCAACTAGTTATATATCAAAAACCAGTGGTGATAAGCCGAAGCGTCAAATAGTCCTTTACTTGAGCGGGGTCGGCTCTGAATCCGATTTTAATGGTAACTTCGCAGGCACAGCTCTGCTTCTTCGTTGAGTGACTGTTCCCGTCGATTCGAACGTCTCAGTTGCTGATGCGGCCATTCCCCTTTCCAGAGGCTTATGGCACGGCAGTGGGTCAGTTTGTTAGGTGTCTACCTGCGTAAATGGATATTCATGATATTTCAGCAAGCAAGATTTGAGATGCATATGCATTCATCGCCCAGAATTTTGAAGTGGGGGATGAGATATGTATCTTCGGGTGGGCTATGATCCAAATGGTCCCTTGTAACTATTGACAAGTCCTTGCCATCTAGATTTTCCAGGCAAGTCATTTTCGTTGTTACCGCTGCTGACGATTAACAAACCTGACTAGGGGTGCCTACACAGCTCGAAAGCTATCTGGTTTAATTGTTAGTAGCTTTAGTAGATCTTCTGATTGCTTTACTCAAATTCATTTGTGAAAGGACCATATTGGGCTCTTGGAAAGAGAGCAGCTCGGAGACTTCTTTAAGATCTGGTCTGCTCTCGCCAAAGGCTGACACCCGACGATTCCATCTGGCACGCGTCAGACCAGGATCAAGTGAGTAATTAATTTTATTCAATCAACCACAGACCTTGCTCTCCGTTGCTGATACAATCTCGCTTCCTCGAAGATGTGTGGGTGTATGGGACACCGTTGATGCTGTCTATAAATTTCCCCTTACTCCCATCAAGGATACACTCGGCATAACAGATTTCAGTCTTCCTGCCAGCATCGTATTGCACTGCATGCGCTGTCTCTGCAGGAAAATCGAGACCGTTTCTCGCCCACCCTTTGGGAGATGCCGAAGGGCGGCTGGCGCGACAACCAAGTCATCAAGCAGGGACGTCAGCTTTTGTCAATGTTCCTTCCTTTCGAATATCTGACATACTGGGGGGTCCTGCAGGTGTGGTTTCCCGGTTCCCATTGTGATGTTGGTGGAGGTTATGAGAAGCATGACCTCTCTGACTTGGCATTGTTCTGGATGGTGGTGCGTATGATTCTCGAGGATTTTGTGGAGTCACCTTCACATAGGACTGGCTCGTGACTAGGGAGAAATCAAGTCCTTCATCAACATCGATACCTCAGTTTATTGAGAAGATTGCGCAGCCTCAGCCTGATCCGTGGGGAGCAGCGCAACCTGGACAATGGATATGTGGAGTTGGTTGGCGACTTGAAGCGATTCATTCAACCTTCAGACACGCTTGCAAGGTGGTGCGATCAAGCCAGGCATGGTGTTCCACGAGAGCATCCTTTATGCCCCCACGACGGCTTACGAGGCCGCAATACATGCTCACCCTCGATACGCTCAAGCAAGCATTTGGAACTTCTTGGAAGCCGACCATTGCACCCCTCAACGAGTTTGAACAATACTGTAAGGATAAGTGGGGGAAACAGTCCAAACGCAAGGCTAACCGCAATGTGCATATCACTGTCTTCTTTCGTGCGCTATTTACGGAATGTGTTGATTTTTTGTGCTTATAGCATGGTGTTTTCGAAAAGGTTCCCGAGAGTGTCACCTTCGAGAGTGTATCAGGTCTATTTCCTTAGATACCAGGGGCAGGAGCAGGATATGGGTTGTACGGTTCCTTTCATGGTAGTTGTGTCCTAGGTAGGGGGTGCCCAAGTGCTCAAATTTTGTCATAGTTGTCGTGCATGAACCACCTACTCCCTGTACAACTGGCCCCTCTGAAACAATTACAATTCCGTGTATTGTGCTTTACACAATCTTCGAGCATAAAACGAAACAAACAAATAGCATTTCGATTTTGTCATACAGTCCGTACTTGAGCGCATGGTTAGGGAATACCTACCACTGGAACGAGGCTCTCACAGATGACCCGTAATCACCTTGTTTATCATTCAAATCTATTATATGACATATGTACTGAAGTCCTACACTTATAGTTCGAAAACCTTCTGTATCATGGGTGTGAAGTCCAGTCGTGTAGCTGTGGGGTCCCTGTCACCGACAACAAGTTTAGAACCCTCCCCGCCGCCGTTGTACGGGTCGAAATGGTTGATGTGCATACAGTCTCTCCAGCCGAAGCCCCTCCCACACCGAAGCCAACTTCAGTGCCGTTTCAATACCCAAACACCTACCTTCCTCTACACTAATTGGACCGTGTCTTTGGGCAAGTGCGAGAAGAGAAGGAAGTAGCCAGCCCTTGATGTCATATTGCATGGCGAGCACAACCTTCTCAACATCGCCAAGAGTCTCGCACTGCTACCATCCAACCAAGATATGGCTGCTGCGCGGAGGCTTGTACATTCCCACATCATGGATAACTTGAGGACAGATATCCGTTGGCTGGTAAAGTGAAGCACTAGGCTCTTATTTTGCCCACACTGTCTGGTGTGGATAATTCATAGTCAACATGCCACACTCTGAAAATCAGATACAGGACTATCTTACCTGCATAATAGAGCTTTCAACAGGCATTCAAATTCATCCTTGGAGATGCCATGTAAGACCACCAGTCTTGTGTCATCCTGGCCCTCTATCATCTCATTTTTGGGTTGTGGGATGCGAAACATGTCTCTGAAGATCACTGACTCCTCTTCCAGTGGCTTCCTGGGAACCTTGAACAAACAATTTTCCACCTAATCAAGGGGTAAGAGTAGCAGAGGAACTATACAAACAATGCTGACTAGGAGGATGAGTGTGTCCATATAAAGCTCTGGGTGCTTGGGATACTCTGGAGTGGTTGTCATACTGTCTGCCATGAGAATGATGGTGACTGTTCCAATGAAGGAGATGACCCTTGAGCTTGAGGGGCATGTTTAAGGGGCAAGTGCTGCAGTCTCTGGTGGACATTATAAACAGCAGCCAAGTAGGTTTCCAATGGTCCAATGTGGTTGAAATAGGGGAAGATTGTTGGATAGATATCTGGCAACAGTCTTTATGCAGAGCTTTGTGCATGTGAGAGCAGACAGGTACATGCCTTCACTTCCAACTTCACATGATGGTCTTAGGGTCAATTGCAACCACTCAGTGCTTGCATTGCTGCCCACACTCTGGGAGGTACCCAAAAATGGGTTGTTCAGAAACCAGAACAGGGATGTCCAAATTGCAGCATGAAAACTTTTCAAGTCTCTGGCTTTTGTGGGTAGGGTGAGAGCAGAAGGTCACTCAAGTTAGCCTAGACACAGAACTCAGACTTGAAATGACAAAGTTTTAGGTGTAAGGTAAGACAAAGTGTAAACTAAGTACTTAACATATTTGTTGGAGATATATTCTCCCCTGTGTTCTGCTCACTTTGGTACGATGTTTGGGTGCTTACATAATCACCTTAGAGCGCACATTTTACAGTAGTTTATTCACTGTTCCCTCAGTAGCTTGTTGCACTACTGAGGGTAAGCTCACTTTCACTACCAGTATTATACTTACTGATATCCTGTAGATACCTACAGGTTGGTCTAATACATTAGTAGCTTGTTGCACTACTGAGGATACCTACAGCATCCTTCAAAAATATTACCCAATCAACTTGGTGTAGACTGGATGGCATACTGTGCAACAACATGCCCCCTCAACAAGATGAGTAGGAAAGAAAAAATGTGGCTAGACACTTGGACATCAACTGCATACCTCTGAGGACCTGTACTGTGGTAGCATAGGTGTAGAAATGCAGTCAGCAGTGTATTGGACAGCAGGTGAAGCATTTGGATGAGCAGGAACTTGAATTTTGTCTATGGTGATCAGCTGATGAGTGCATGGTTGACATGGCCTGTGCATGGTGCAGTTCTTCATGTGAATACTGTGCACAGCCCTGTCATATGACATGTGGCTTGTTTTGTCAAGGGGTTTACAGTGGTCAAGATGTGTTGACACATTGTGGTGAGTTGTGACAGGACTGGGCAACCAGCTGCACCTCATCAGGAAAATAACACTTTACTATTTTTGACTTTTTGTGACTAAAGTGACTTGTTGGGAAGGAATCTACTATCATTACCCATGTCCTGCAGGCATGGCTGCACTTTTCTTGCTGATCTTGGCCTTGTTCAAACCACCTAATTCATAGCTTTCAGTAGATACTACATACATTCAAATTGATGGAGGTTCCAAAGAGATATTGTGATTTTTCTCTCAGACAGTGTGCATCATGCCAATGGCTCAATATCTCTGAATTTTCAGACATTTTCTAGTCTTCTTGGCTTAGATATATCATCACTTAGTTGTCTCAATAGATTCTGTTCTCTTTTCATTCTTCAAAATGCTGTATATGGTCAAAAAAAAAGTCCAGATAGTAGGTTCCTTCCCAAAAAGTCACAAATAGTCACAATAGTCACAAAAAAGTCAAAAAAAAGTCACAAAAAGGTCAAAAATAGTAAAGTGTTAATTTCCTGATGCTGTGCTGCACCAGGGTCAGTGCTGCACCTTCCACACCTCTCATTTCACCTGCACCACCTCTCTCAATTAAACAACAACTAACCCCCACCAGTAGGTTTGCTTTGCTGCCATCTGCTTCAAGAACATGGCACAAATCATCAAGATCTGGCCATTTAGGTGTGAAAATGAGCTGTTTGAGCTTATTCTGAATTTTGGGCACCAGGTGTGAAGTTGCTATGGGTTGTAAGTGACCATTGCACCTCAAGTCTCAATCTAGGGAGCCTAGAGAGTGCTTGAGGGCTGTTTGGAGTGCTGTAGGAGCTGTTTTGAAGGTAAGTGGGTTGTGCTTGAGTGTGCACTGATCCTGATTGTTATGCAGTGACAGCTCATGATCTGGGACCCACAGCATCTCATTTGCGCCCCCTAGGACCTTCTCTGACAGCCACTTCAAGACCAGCAGCTGATCTGTGAGATCAGCACCTCCATCATCAGGCCTTGGGGTCATACTTCCAGCACTTGTGCTTGGTGAACATCCAGGTATGTTTTTTTGGCTTGATTTTGGTTCATTGGGGTTGAATGGGTGCATCAACAGGAGAAGAAAGTGGCCCCAACCTGTTTGGAGTCATATTTACACCTTGGAGGGATGCTGTACCCCAGTTCTCAGGTAGTAAGTGCAGGCTTGATGAAACCACACAGTTTTTTTATTAATCCCAGGTGTGTGCATGCAGACAAAGTCCTGTGTGAGCCACAGCTGTGAGTATCAGGTACACAAGCCCATTTGCTACAGTATGGCAAGCAGGAGCATTGCACTGATGTTTCTGTGTTGGCCAGGACTTTGTGTGGCAGAAAGAGGGAGTGAGGGAAACAAAGAGCAATTTGTAGTGTGCACAGCACTTCTTGTGCAATCAATGGGCATCGGTAGACCACTTTGTGAGCTGGTAGTCCTAGGGAATCTGTCCTGTGCTGGACAGCTCTGGAAAGCTCTGGCCAGCAAAAGTGATTTACTGATGGGTGCACCCATGTGCAGGTCAGTCATAATGTTACTTGCAGATGGAGTGGGCACATATGAGCTTGCATTTTGATTTAGATGGATTGAATAGGGCATGTAGGGACTCATAGCACATGTGTTCAAAGGAACTGCACTGTGGTGTGGACCCTCTGTTCCAGAGGGTGTTCACATGCCATGTAGACTTCCTGTAGTGAGTCTGGTGAAGTCTGTATTTACTTGCAAGCCTGTGCTGACACAGTTTCCAGCATTTGACACTTGTGCTGGCAAAGGAACAAGCATGTGGAACCTGCTAGGGTGTCCAGAACTGTGCCTGAGCACTGCACCAGTGGCCACACTGTGTGGAGTGTTGCACAGTGGTGAAGAAGTTTGGTGGACAAGTGTGTGTTCATGAAGTTGGTATGTTTCTGCTGTGAGAAGGTAGAGTGAACTTTGTAGCTGACCATATCCAATAGCTTGGCCATCTGTGACCAGGGAGCAGCCATTTTGAGAGAAAACAACTTGAACTCCTTGACTGGATAGATAGGTGATTGAAAGAAGATTTGCATGTATCTGGGGAACAAAGTATACCATTTGAAGTAGTATGTGAGAGGGTTTAGCAGTGCTGAGATCCATTTTGAGAGTGATTTTCCCAACTGTGGTAGCAAGGACCAAGTTTCTGCTTGCAGTTACTATTGCTTGAGCAGGTGAGAGAGGTTTGTGTTGTGGCACATTCTGCTCTTCATTATTCAGTGACACAGCCTTATGTAATGCACTTGTACTTGTGTTAGCTTTCATCTTTTGAACACACCTCAGTCTTGACATACTCAAGCTGAGGTGAGATACTTTTTCTACAGTTGTTACTCTATGATATCCAACCCTATTAGTTACACTCCTTTGTTTCTAGCTTCCTCTGTTCACACTGTAGCTCTTTAACCTACAAAAGGTTATGAGCCCTGCCCTGCTCAGATACTAGATCTACACAGTCATAACTAAGCTAAAACAATGTCAAACCCTTCCACATCAACTGCTGGCTCCTCACAGACAGCAACCTCAGCCTCCACAATAACTGCTACCTTGTCAGCCAAGTCCATGCAGCCTAGTAGTTGCCTATATGACATTCTGTCATTGGAAAATGATGGTTCTAACTTCCAGACATGGAAGTACAGAATCAATGTGGTACTAGACATTTGTGGATTATTGGACCTCATCAGTGGAAAAATCACTGCACCAGACGCAACTACAGACCCAAATGGGCATGCAGACTGGCTAGCCAGGGACAAAGAGGCTTGTGCACAGATCACCTTAACTCTGAAGGATGAACCACTCAGTGGTGTGCTTCATGCAAGCACAGCAGCTGAAGTCTGGAAGAAACTATGTGAGTGCTATGAAGGAAGAGGCAAACAGACAATAGCCTACATTATAGGTGAACTCTTCCATGGGACCCTCTTGGATGATGCTCCCATGGAACCTCAGTTAAACTCTATGTGGCAGAAGGCAACTGTACTCAAATCACTTGGCCAGTCCCTAGATGACTCACTAGTTGCCATAGCCATGGTCATATCTCTACCATCCTCCTACTTGACTCTCTGCACTGTTCTTATGTCCTCAGACAACAAGCTGTCAATAGACTCAGTAATCTCCAGTGTTCTCATCAAGGAGAGAGCAAGAAGAGACAGCAGCAGCCCAAACTGCACATGTTGCTAAGACCCAAGCCAACAAAAAGGGCAAATGGAAAGGACAATCAGAAACAGAGAAAGAAGCCTCAACATGGCAAGATGAAGAAAGCTGATGAGATGGCAAAGTCTTCATCCCATCCAGAAAGGAAAAGGAAAGCCAAGGAAAGGAGAAGGACAACCTAGTAGCCAAGGTGGCACACATGCCAGAAGCCCATTCTCCCCCCTTATAACTCTTTGTGGCATCTAGTCATGGCAGCAACCTAAGTGCATCCTGGGTTGTCAACTCTGGTGCCTCAGTCAATATGTGCTGTCAGTGCAAATGGTTTACATCATTAACAAAGCTCTCACCTCCACAGCCAGTTGTGGTTGGAAATGGTAGCTCCATACCAGCCACTGTTGTTGGACATATTGAGCTTGAGATGGACCTGGGAGATGGAAAATCTGGCCATATACTACTACAGAAGGTCTATTATGTGCCAGACCTCAACTTGAACATCCTCTCTGTGGCATACCTCACCAACAAGGGAGTTGAGGTAGCCTT